ATTTTATTTTATTTTATTTTATTTTATTTTATTTTATTTTATTTTATTTTATTTTATTTTATTTTATTTTATTTTATTTTATTTTATTTTATTTTTGGAATAAATGTGACATTGGAGGTTCCAATGAAAGAAGGGTATTCGTGGAGTCCAACATAGGTCGCTCAAAGAAAACAGGTGGACTCCTCCCCCTCCCTCTGTTTATGAGGGCAGGTTCTTCCAAAGAATGATCCACAGAATGATCCAAATTTGGATCTGCTTGAACTTTCCCCTTGGAGGACCAGCTCCTCCTGCTGTTACAGCAATGGCCCGTGGAGAGTCCCTTGGGTGAACTGGGGCCTCAGCGTGGTTGCAGGTGAATGTCCATCTTTAAGGACCTCTGTAAATTCCCAGCAGTGGGCCTGCCCAGAGCTCTCCACCATATTGGTCACATTTGGTCACAAAAGGGACTGTGTGGAGGAGACTATATTTGGACCTGCCTCTTACAGGAATGATTTGGCATCGAGGATCTAGGAACCGTATAACTGTGGAGCAGCCCTTAGCTCCAAAGGCAGTTTGCAGGACTGAACACTTACGGGATCTTTGCTGTCAGCTGCCACAAGAGAGATGCCGCGTCCTCCACCTCAGTGATATATGCCATGATTGTTTCAATTTGTATATAAATGGGAATCGTTGCTGTTCAACGTATAGGAAAGATGTTTTCCCCTATAAATCATGCCTCGTTTTTGGTTTTACAACCCCCTCTAGAGTCAGACACTGTATCTTCAGTTCTGGAAAGGAATGGATATTTTTTCTCCAGAATGAAGCTGTCCCCGAGACAGAGATGCAGGTGCAGAGCATCTGTCCTGTGCCATTAAAATACTTGAAAGAAGCTAAGTTTCCCAGAAGAATGTTTTCAACTGTAACATTTTCTTGTATATGATTAATTGTATATTTAATGTAAACCTATTTGGAGCACTGCAGTGTGCCCCAAGAAAGGCTTTGTAACTTGGGCAAATAGTTGGAAAGCTCCTGAAACAGGCAAGCTCCTGAAACAGGCTACTGAGATGATTCTGTTTTGCAGGCTGAAAAATAGTAGCAACTATCTGATACCGTATTTTCATAATAGCTTGTTTGCTTTCTTAAAATGACAAAAAAAAATCAGGATATTTACTTTCCTGTGTCAACAGCCATGTCTGGCACCTAATCACCAACCAAAGCAAATAAAATGAACCATACATTTTTAAGTCAACTATTCACTTTTATTTCTGTCACTACTCTGCTTAAAAACCATTGTCTCTGTCATAGCTGTGTTAAGTGCTATATGCTGCTAGGAGCCCATCGTCACTTTGGGTTCAACAGGGGAGGAAAGAAAGGATAGGGTAGGAAACAAAAGTGACCATTCACAGAGCACAAGACTGGCAGAACTGAGAATAGAAAACCTGTTATCTGTCCTGCACTAGTCAACGTTGTCCTGATGTGTGACTGCTGGTCAGCTCCTGGTTTCACAGGAGCTTAAAAGCGAGTTATCGCCCTGGCAGTGGGCAGAGACTAAACCTTAGTTGGGGTCTCCAGGAAACCTCGGGTACCTTTGGTGAGATATTATGCATTAAAATATAATTTTTCTTGGGAAAAAATATTAATAGCATCTTAGTATAAAATATTTTCTGATATGTTACTTTTTCTCCAGTGAGACAATTCTCTCACAGAGCTCTGGGTTTTCTACTTTTTTTTTCCCTTCATAAAAAATATTTGTCTCCAAGAACACAGCTAGGAGAACAGAGGAAAATGAACTCACTGTTAAAGCTTATGTCAACGTACAAAACAGAATGGCCACAAGATGGTAGCAGTCTGCAAGGAAGGGCAAGAGATGCTCTGAGCTTTGCTTAATGATCCAGGGAGCCCTCGCCATGTTCCAGCAGTTATGAGACCTGATTTCTGTGCGGTGTTAATTTGAAGGATTTCGCTTGGAGTTAATCTTGCAAGAGACAGAGCCAGGGGTGGGCAATCACTTTCACATTATTGTCTCTATGTCAGGTTGATGGTCACTTGAGTCGTAGGATCTCTCTGTCCCACAGACTGGTGGCTCATGCCCTTGCCCAGGAAGCCATCTACGGATGGCTGAAATGAAAACGTAGGGTCTCAGGGCAAATCCATATTAATTTTTCATCTTAATCTAGTCTTCTGGACTGTGTGTGCAGAGTCTGGTTGGAAATGTGGTCAGGCTGCCTCCAAACTTCCAGAATGACACCCAGCACGGCATGGCCACGCGTTGCAAAGGGCTCATCTTGTGCATGCTCATTCCGACAGCTCAGAGCAAGGGAAGGGGTTAACTTTATCATATCAGGGTTTATGGCACATCAGATATCACCCAGCGTCCCGGGGCTGGCATGAGGTTTGTGTCGATACATCAAGGCAGCAAGAAATCCATCATGTGCTCTGTGTGATTTGACAGAAATGCAGTCATGTGCCCATACACAAGATTAGATCAAGATTAGAGTCGTGCTGCTTGGTGATCTGACAGTGCACAGACCCGTAAGAATGAACATGCAACCACAGCTTCAGGCAAAAAAACCTCACATTTACTTCTGCTGCCCCTGTTGGAAGAGGAGAAGAGGGGACTTATGATGGATAAATGGGGCAGGCAACTTAAGGGGTCCCTCTGGTCTGGATTATAGTTATCTGGAAAGATTCTTGCACATTCATACTTGGTATATGAGGTTGTTTTGTAAACAATTTTGATGTCAATTCTGGGAGAATTGTATTGTATCTTGATGCATCATGGGGATGATAAGAAGGTGACTGAAGTTTAGCAGCATTCATCTCTATCTACAGGATATCCACTTTACATCACACTTGAGTGAAAGGGCTTTTTTTTTTTTTTTTTTTTTTTGCATGTAAATTGAACTTAAAATAAAGGCAGCAAAAAATAAAGTCAGTATAAAAATAGCAATGTTCTGAAGTTATTTAACTCTGCAATGAAGTTAAGCCCTGGGTGCCAAAATTTTAGTGTATTTCTAACCAGAAGTGCTAGCTGTACTGTGAATAGCAGTAACTTCATTTAGTCTTTTCATACTGATACACTTTGTAGCACACAGTTTAAAGCAAAAAAAGGGTATTAGCACTATTATGTATTTATATTTTTTTKTTGTTGTTGYTTAATAAAAGCSATAACCTATGGTCTAAAATTGTTTCCTCTATGGAGCCAATCTGTGCATGTCTTTCTGTTCAATGCTAGTGATTTAAACGCCTCTCCATTGCTCAGTAAGACTCTCTCCCTGGAGGAAAAGGAAAAATCTTGATTTGCATAAAATGAAATTGTGATTTGTATTAGGTGCCGTTTACCCAGTGCAAATGTACATGTATATTCTCTTATTTTATCAATTTTCTCTTGATTTAAATGGGACTATTCTTAGCAGGTAAAGTGAAATGTTCTGTCAAACATACAGCAGGGGAGGATATAATGTAAAACATGTCCTGAATTGACCTAGTTCTTCATTGTTGTTTTCCTTTGGTGGGAAATAGCTTACAGGGTAATAAAATGAGAAACTGAATTAACTAATGGGTTTGTATATCTAATACAGTTGATATATTTTTATAATTCTTTGTGATTTAATTTCCACATATTTTCCYTTTATTCTATAGCTCTCAAAATTCCATCCTCCATTTAACAGGTAACAAACTGTTTAAGAACATATATTCCATCTACTTTTTGGTAATTTGAAATCATATATTCTCTATTTACTTATACAACTGTCTCATAGGATTTAGCAAATCTATGGATTTTTGCAGATACTTGAAAAGGTCTTTCACAAGCAAGCTCCTTTAAATCCAGTTATTTCCTCTTCTTTGTTCTTTCCTGTTCTTTCCAGATATTTTCTTCTCTTGGCTTGTCTCCTGAGAGTCACATCCCTAGCTGCCAATACAGAGATTTATGTCCAAGATTGGACTTTTTCTTTCCTTTTTCCCAGCTCCAACTTTAATAAGTCTCCCAGGCTTTATTTGAAAACTTCAACTAAAAAAAAAAAAAAAAAAAAAAAAAGAGCCTTGCATATCTCTGATGTTGCTGTTTGAATTAAAAAGCCAAGTGACCTTATTTTAAAGACTAAACAAAAAACTAATGAACATACATGGAGACAGGTACTCAACACACACTTGAAGTTAAACCTGGAGTACAGAAAAAAATAATCATTTTTTAAACATTTTTTCTGCCTCTATTAGCAWATTACACTAAGCCTATCTGAATATTTAATTCCTTTCTGTGTAGTAAACAGTTTAAGAAAGGAATTCTTCAGAATTTTTCATTCAAATGAGCGTATTTCCTTCACATTTTTTTTCCGCAAATGCTCTGGGTTCTGTACAAAAATCAAATACTTTGCCAGCTTACTTGGGGAATATTTCTAATTTTCTTTTCTGCTACCTCATT